TTAACTTCAAAAGAACATCATGTAGGCATGAAACGTTTTTTTTCTAGTTGGATTGTAGCACACATTTAAGATACAGCTATTCCATCAATACAAATGAATGAAGATAGGTAACAACAATTTTTTGAAATACAATTTAAATATCTAAATTCAGTGTGAAATATCATATTTTGGTGGCTTCTGAAGCTACTGTAGGGTTAAAAATAAATGATAGAGTATATTTTAAATAGGATTTAATAGAAAAAATATTTTTTTTGTCACAAAAACAATTTTTCATGCTAAGATTTTATGGAAAATCCTTCCCTGAACAAGCAAAATTTTCCCCAATGGAAATATAATAACAGACTATTATCTTTAAATATGTAGTCACATTTGACAATATGTTTGCCATAAAAAAAAATATATTTAAGTGTTGAAGCATCTTGATATTTACAACTAACAACTAAACATGTGGTACCCAGGTGAGAAACTCAATTGAAAATTTTGCTCTTCAACACATGGTGGTAGTGGTTCTTCGTTTGGCTTTTAGGTTCTTAGCTATGACAGAGGTATGAACTTCATGGTTATCCTGTGGCAAATTCCAGGTGCATGAGGGACCTTTACTGCCACGCCGCTGCTGATTTCGGACAATCCAGGAGAACCCGATGGCTTCAATGGGTCTCCATTGATTTTAAAACTCACAGCTGCACGCCAGATCGTCGGATGACTATTGCGAGAGAGTTGCAATACACTTGGTCTTCGATATTATACCTATAAAATACACCTCCCTCCTTCCCTTTATATCATTTTTTTTTCTAAAGGCTCGTTAGAATATTTGTCCAGTTCAGAGGCACGAGAGCTAATAATTTTGACATTAATGCTCCAAGTTTTGAGAATTTCTTTGTATTGGTGAACTGACTAATGTATCCTGATCCTGATGACATTTTATACACATATAGGACCTTCATTTGATAATGGGATGCATGAATTGATTTTTCGGAAATGAAGAAAAAGGAAAAGTATTTTTTATGGCAATGTTAAGAATGATTTTTTTTTCAGGAGTAGAAAAGACTCATTCTTATTTTCAAGAGGGTGCGTGTGGTTTTTCATTGAAAATAATCAGGTGAACGACCGATTACATTGTCGTAGTCTTGAGAAATCAACGTCTTAAAGCGTGTCAAAAATTATTGTACTGGAAAGGAATTTTTGTTTTTTAATGGATGAATAGAAAAATCTTAGAAATTTATTTGAAATATTGAATATAAAATCAATTGTTGAATATTTTTTACTGGGATTTGTATTTTAAACAATTGAATAAAGTATATTTTATAAAAATAAATTTAATAAAATAATTATATTAATTTTCTGTATGATGATAAAAAAATTAATGTTATAGAAAAATACTGTCTTATCTGTATTTAATTTTGTCCAGAGAACATTATACCACATTGTGACATTATTTTATCTAAGCACTTGGATAAGATTTATTAAAATATTTAGACCTCCTTGACTATCGTCTTGATGCACTCAGGAAAAAATTTACTGTTAACAAGTCATATTTTTTTCAACTAATAAAATCAAAATTTTTAAATTAATCACAATTAAATAAACATTTTTTTCCAAATATGGAGATGAAAATTAATTTTTTCTGATAAAAAGTACTTAAAAACACACTATTTCTATAAATAATAATTATTTTTATTTATCTAAGTTGAATTAAATATATTTTTAAATATAAATGAATTAACGCCAAAAAAATAACGAATTTAAAAATAGATGAAGACTAAAAATACAAAAATAGACAAAGTGTTTATTTGTTTTTCCCGCAAATGAATTTTCTTAGTATGCATAATTTTTAATGAGTCGTAAAAGTAATTTACGAAGAAGACGAAAACGTTCTTTTTAAGCTTACGCTCGACGCGATTATCCCTATATTATATATACTTCAAAGAAATTAAGGGGTAGGCAAACAGCCTGCCACGCGCCACCTTCTTTAATCTCTCCATCTCTTTCTCGCTCCATCTTGCAGCCACCCGAGTCGCCAACATCTGTTAGGATAGTATACAGTTCCTTCCCTCTTCTACACATGTCCAACGGAGGTATAATAATTCTGAGATCGGAGACCGCCGCCGCATGGTAACAGCTTATGACAATCCACCACTGGTCATTTCATTTGACCCCCAACTCTTCTGCTTTGCTTCATTTTCAACTATAAATCATTTTCGTGACTCGACTCATTTTTTCCTCCAATTTTCTCCATTTTATTATAAGCTATAATATGTGTGGAAACGCTAAAATTAAGCGAAATTTTACTTTAGAACTTTAGGATGTGGAGAATTCGAGTCGCATCTGCGTATACGACTGCTGGCAGGTGGCAAGTCATTGGACTTCTTGTTCTTTTTGTTTTCTCTTTTTAATATAATACATTTCCATTTTATTCTCCTTAATTTTTATCATTATCCAGAGTGTTAAATAATCTTCAGCTCATACATATTTATTTATTTATTTTTTAATTTAAATTTGGTTGTGAACTTTAAATAAATCTGATTGATCGATATGGTATACAGATAAGGTACTGACCTCAAGGATGGCTGATTTAGTAGATGTGTAAGATAATAAAAGAAATAGTTCGGCTTAATGCCGAGAACCTTTTCCAATTGACGTCATTGCTTAGGCTAATTTGAACGTTTGCTGATTTTTTCTTGTACTGATTAAGAATAACAGAGTTTCGTAACCACGCTCTGTTAATTATCTAGAAATTTTTTTCACTTCTATTGTATTCCATAAAATGTTTCCATTTCCTAGCTGTTTTTTTTCCATCATATTGAACAATTGTTTTTATAAAAATATTCATTTAGGTGGTAAAAATTCAGAAATGTTTTTTTTTTAATTACATAATATTTAAATGTTTTATCTAAACTATTTTTTGTAGAACATTAATGGCTTTGATAGAACCTTGTTAGTATTTTGGACATAATCAACACTTGAAAGACTCATCTACTCATCTTCTAAATCATAGATAAGATTTGTTCTGAAGATCTGTGTAATTAATGTCAATTTGAGTTTTCTTTTCAAGAATACTTGTAAACAGAGTGTCTTTAAGAATGCTGTTAGATAAAATGATAAGATTGAATAATAGTAATTGAGTTCAGTAGATGAATGAAAAACTCACAGAATCTTTCACCTTTACTGATACATATCATATTTTTGATTATTAAAATTGAAGAAGTTTAAAAAAGAATAAATACTTGATGCAAAAAAGATATCAATAGCATAACTTGAATATAAATTGAGATAAACAATTTCAACTCTGATTTATTGTCAAGAATTTTAAAAAGACTATTCCATTGACAAAATAAGTTGGTATAAAAATAACTTATTTTATTCATCAGAAATCTAAATAAAGATTAAAGTCTAAAGCAAGCTATATTAGATCAAAAGTTGTATGAGTTCCTAAAAGTTGGCCAAATAAATTGGTATAAAATTCTAGAATCTTCAAAAAAGGATAATTTATTACTAAGAAAGAGGTTGGACAACATAGATATATCGAAGAACAAAATTCACAACTCTAAAACTATGTCATAATTCTATATAATGATCAGGAATGATGAAAAAAAAATCCTAAAAATACCTATATTTATTTAGTTAAATCACGAAAAGGACAATAACCTGAAATAACACATTTATCTTAGTTCAGTGATATTTGTCAAATATTATTTCTTCTAAAATAACAAGAAACCCTTCAAACATACCCTTTAAATAAATAGTTCACCAGGAGCCAGCAAACCCTTTATTATCAAAAGACTGATTCATTTCATCATATGGGTGAATAGAATTTTACTTGACAAGGTATCAAAATTGGAGTATAATTAGGTATAAATGGTTGCAAATTAGCTAGAAGCAATCTAAACTGATAAAAAAATTGCTTATAATTTTTTGTTCACACATATAGAGCCTACATTACTCACACAATCAAGCATATCACATATGACTATATACTTATACACATTTATACTTGATTATCTACAGGATAATATTTTAACCTAGAAATCAAGACCCTTTTTGTTCTAAGAAATTTTATACAAATTTCTTTACATAGTCAGTGATTGTAATTTTTAATAAAATATATTAAAATAACTATTGAATTGTCAAGGATTATATTAAACATTATACTTGAAGGATGAACAAATAATACAGGAGAACTTGTTCTCACGTCTCATACATTTAATGACAACTGATTTTCTGGTTGATTCAGTAGAGATCGAATAAAGATAAAAATAATAAATGATACAAAAAATCAAACTTACCACTGTGACCGGTATTACTTGATGATTGACCCATCTCGTGTGTGGTAGAAGCAAAGGACCAAAAGTGTTGGCCTTAGGTGAAATTTATCAGGTCATAAACAGTTGTTTAATCTCATAGTACTCTGATCAATAAACACAGTCTTTTACATTTATAAACTACTTTTATGCAAACTAAAATAAACAACAATAACAAAATAAAACAAAATTACATTGTCAATGACCGCAGTCTAATGACAACGGGAATGGACGGTCTATACAATATCGTCTATTTTTACTAATTCACATGTCATCTATAGTACTATCACTCATGGTGGGCTCTGATTGGAGCGTATCAGGTGATTAAGGGCGACGCGCGAACATTCAAAAATTTTTTATTGATATTAATTTAAAATAAAATTTTCAAAATTAAAGCAAACGTTGCCATGACTTAATAATTAATCACAAGATTATGATAATTATTCAATTTTAGTATTGATTTGAAAGACTTAAAAACTTACCTATTGATTGTAAGAAGACTTGAGGATAATTAAATTTTAATAAAGAGACAATTTTTTGGAGTAACTAATATTAATACATAAATAACAAACGTTAATGATTATTTGAAACTATGAGTAAAACGTTGTGGATAAAGATAAAATAATGTTTATTTTTTTTTTATTTTTAACGACTGATTAAAATAGATAAACGAATCAGTGAGTTACCCTGGTTACAGAAAACACAACAAAACAAATATAGGCCAACATTAAGTAAACTGTATTGTCGTGAATGATTGACAATGGGGGAAACTGAGTACTTAACAATAAGGGCAAAATTAAGTGTGAAATTATGGATAATAGTATAATTATAACTTCCCTAATTTTTGTTTGTATGATTTTGAATGTTTTTGATAAAGGTAAGTTATAATAATCAGTTTAATATCAAAGTAATAAATATAAAACTCATGTATTGATAAAAAGAGCGGGAAGTCTAATTAAATAAATAATTAATTGATGGTAATAATAGTTTGACTCAAAGACATTTATAAATAACATAGATTATTGTAACGATATCATATTGATATTGATGATGTTAAGATTATTTTAATAATAGTCATGTTATTATTATTCATTTTTTTAATTGGTCAGGTTGTGCAATTGATTGCTTCAAATGTGTCTCTATTGGAGGTGATAACAAGGAATGTGATGATCCATTCCATAACAATGGTTCCATTCAGTTTTTGGAGTCACCTTGTCAAGGTGGACGTAAAGGAAGAGATGGACTCTTTCCTGCCACTGCATGTATCAAACTTGCAGGAGTGTATTGTACGAATATCATTTTGCTTTTACAATTTCTTATCTATAATATTTTAATATCAAATATTTCTATTATTCACTTAATATAATAAAATAATTATAATAATTAATTTATATAACTTATAGATGATACAGGAGTAACCATCACTGTGAGAAGTTGTGCTCTAGACAGTGGAACTCTTACAACAGATTCAGAATTAATTAGAATGTCTCACTGTGGAGGATTTTACTTTGGTGATAAGTAATAATAAAAATGAGTATTTTATTATAGATAAAATTGTAATTACTAATCATAATTAAATATTATATATTATTTTAGATATGTAAGAGGTTGTGTTCAATCGTGCAGTGATACAGATGCTTGTAATAATAGTGTACCAATTAATGCCAATTTATTTTTATCTCTATTTATATGTACAATAATAATATTATGCTTTCATCAATAATCTTAAAAATGACAAATCTGCACTGCCTTATCAAATATCCATCAGTCTACCGCTTTAAATATTGACATGTGCAATAAAACTTTTCATAATTACGTATAATAACTAATAAAAGAAATTATCTTAATTATTATAGCGATATAAATAAAACATTATGTATGTACAAAATAAATTAATTGATTAAAAATCATAATGAAACAATCAGCTGTCTGAAATATTATTTTTTATCTTATGATTTCCCGTCATATTCAGACCGTACGACTAAATGTTTGTTTTTTTACAATATAACCAATGATTTATTCATAAATTTCAAGTTGACTAAAAGTGTTTTACTCAGTTAAATGTTTAGTGAAATAACAAAAATTAACGGTTTTTGAATTATACAAAAAAATTAGTAGCATTAACGGTAGTACAAAAAAATTGTTATAAAAATGCCTAGTCGAGCGCAAAATATTTATGATCAATTGGCTTACGTCTTCCATGGAACTAGCCTGTGGTTTTGGGATACATCAGAACTTTTAGCTGATATAATGCTAGAATTTTTAGTAAGATCACTAGATCTCGCAATAGTCATCTTCAATCTATTATTTCAAGTTGTATGTTTCTTGAGGGATTTATGTATAGAAGCAATGCAAACATTTGCGAATGTATTTCGTGGGATTGTTAACGTTGTTAGTTCCATTAATACTGAAGACGTAGAAGACTTTGCATCAGCTTGTTTAGTTGTAATTCTCTGGATTGGCGTTGGACGGTTCTTGTTTGGCACAATCAACAAAGTAAAAAAAAATTTCCTTTATTATCTGATCCATTGTAATTTTGATTTTCTTACTTAATAATAGAACTATGGTCCATATAATCCACTAAGGCTACTGAATGTATTTTCTTGGAGAAAAGAGAAACTTGATTCTGTTTCATCTGTTCAAAACGGCTTATGGGTAAAAACAATTTCACGAAAGAAAACTCATGGAATACGTAAGAAACGCAATACTACAAAGTTTTGATATGATTAATATAAAGAAAAATTGTTACAAAATATTCTAAAAATAAATAAATGTTCATAAATTTTAATTTTCATTATATCAACAATGTGTAAAAATCTCGTTTATTCATATCCGCATTATATATACATTATATATATATATATATATATATATATATATATATATATATAAAAATATATATATATTAGCCACAAAAAATTGATGGCATTTATCTATATCACCTATTTATCATTAATCAGTAAAAATAAATTATATTCTGTGTTATGTTAGATTATATGTTTTACCTTTCGTTGCCGTGTTATTATTTCTATTGACTATTATTTTTCATTAAATAAATCTCGCATTCTTCTCAATTATTTTTTTTTGTCTTTCTGTTCTATTTATACTCACTCTTATTCGTCTGTCAATCAGTAACGATCGTTATCGCAAGATTATATTCAGGCCATGAGAAAGTACGTGGTAATTGAATCTATTATTTTTCAAGCAATAATTATTATGTAATAATATAAAAATAATTAGCTCTGAAAAAATAAAAGTTATCAACTTACATTTGGAAGACTGAAAACTTGAAATTCTTCGGCCATTTTCACAGCTAAAGCATCAGGAATGAGTACTTGAAGCCAAGGCCCTTGAACTACATAGGGTTTTTCTGAGGAAACTAAAGTTCCCGTGACTGATGATGCTACGACAGTTATTGCTGAATGTGATAGCACTGATTTGAATGTAAAATGTCGTCCATGCATTATTCTTCCCCTAGAAATACATTTTTTGATGAAAAAGATTCAATTTTTATTTCACAGTTTGATATTAAAAAAAATCATTGCTCACTTGATTGCAAGAGGAAGAAGGCTGCCAGCTTCTAAATTAAATGTTAAATGAAGTCCGGTTAATGGTTTAGCAGTAAAATTATCATTGAGAATGGATGGATCTGTGCGATCCGATGATAATTTATCAGATTTAATAGAGGTTCTAGGTGGACAATTTTCAATACTATCATCATTTTCTTCTTTTTCTACATCATCTTCTTCATCATCCGAAACATCTTTAGTCTTTTCTCTGTATTTTTCCGGACTAATATTATTCGTCATCTGAACCCACCAACACTTGGCTGAAACTCCACTTAAGTTAGACCCTTCCCTTTCAATCCCAGTTTGTATTTTTTCAGCAACTGTTGGATCTTGTTCCATAGCGGAGTGTGATCGATTGATGTTTGTCACGAGCCACGGGCCACAGTCTTGTGTTGTTTTTAAAAGATTTATGACTCCTAAGCCATTCCAATGCTGTGCCGCTTGAAGCTCTTCGGAAGTTACTCCGATTATTTGAACAAATGATACCTAAAATAATTTTTTGTAAGATGAAACTCTAACATAAAAAAAAAAATTAATTACATCCAATTATTGTTTATTTAATAATTTTATTTTAATATTATTCAACTATCATAAGAGATATATTTATTATTACCTCTCCATGTGGAGTAGAAATAGAATCCAGAAATTGAGCATCCTTTCCCATTAAAATTTGTGTAATTCTTCCATTTTCTTTACCTAAAGGAGAATGCCATGATACATGATCACCCGGAAGTAACATATTCCCTGAGTTAAATACATATTTTGCCAATTGCTGCATCACATTTGCTGGCCAGGTTGGTGGAGATGTTTCACCAGACTCTCGAACTAGTCTAAATGTTAATTCAAATCCAAATCCACTCGGCTGTCCTGGACTACTTTTCGGATGAAGTCTTCCATCTCCATGTAAATCCGAAAGCCCCAAACTTAAATGACAAAAAAATTAAGTCAAAGAGGAAATGGTTTAAAAAACTGTGATAAAAAAGAAAATAAGTTCATGTCAGCCTTTTAAAATTATGGTTAAAAATAATTTCCTTCCCTTTTTATTTCCGTTTTCACTTTCAATTCCTTTCGCCTGACATTCTCTAGACATTGATGAGTCGCAGCTAAATTTATCCAACATCCCTTACTTTATAAATACCTTAAAGCATACCTAACGAATTATGCATAATGAACGCGGTATTCAACTTTATTTTTCTGTTATAAAGTCAATTGTAAAAATATTATCCAATTTAGCAAATATTAATGTATATTATTTTGTTAAATTAATTTAATTTTAACGAAATCATGTTTATAAATGTTTTTTTATTTAATACGTTTCTAAGAGATTTACCTTTTATTATAAAACATTTGTTCACTAAAAACATTGTTAAACTTTGAGAATGATTGCTGTAAAGTCAGTAGCCACATTATTAAAAAGTCTTTGTATTTTATTCAGACGAGATTTTAAAAGTTTTTTTCTCGTAATTAACAGAAAATAATTACCTAATGTAGTGCCAATGAGGTGGAACTCCAAGTTCTGGACATCCAGGGTTTTCATACATACTAATATAATCTAAAGGATCTGGACCACCCAACCTGCAAATAATTTTTTTTTCATCATATACCATTCCTTACATTCATTTGATGTGCTACAAAATAGTGATTATTATTAAAATTAACATCTTTACCAATATTTTATAATTGCTGTTACAGTCAAAGGATTGCTTTGATCTGGATAAATTTCTTTACAAACATTGTGCAAAGCTTCTAGACCTAAAGCTCGAGACAATGGAGCCTCAGTGGATGGAATTGGTGGCAGACTTGAAAATTCTTCTCTTTCTCTCATGGTTCCAAACATCCAAATCAAATTTTTGGTTGAGCTTGAATGAATAGTCACTCCGGTAAATATTGGAAAGAAATAAAGACTAATGTCTATAATTGTAAACACTGAATAACAAATCTGTACAACTCTATAAACTTGGTGAACACATCAATAATTATTCTGCCCTACTCTATGTACGTGTTGCTTCTTTCACAGACGATTTGTTTATGTGTCGAGATATCGCATCTTTTGATGCTTGGTGTGGAATGTGCAACAATTGGTGGGGGAAGACATGAGATAAAGTAGAAACTTCTTCATGAAAAATTATTCATCTATCGAAAAGTCAGGTTCCGTTGGAAAAAAACTCATAGATCTCGTGTCCAACTATGATATTTTATCTTCAAAAAATTCCAACTTTTATAAATAAAAGTAAACAGCTTATCACTTTTTGAGAAAGTTTTGTGGATATGGGAAAATCGCATGTATAACTTTCAAAAATTATACAGCATTTATGTCCGGTACCGTATATTATCTGCTCTCTTTCCGGTTTCTGGAATAAACTTGATGCGCCGCCTGCCGGCCACTGATCAGAACTATTAGAACTAGGACGCCCACAAGACTCATCAGTCAGTTTATATCTGAAACGCAACAATGGCGGACGCAGCGGCTCGTCAATTGCAGTACGAATATAAAGCTGTAAGTATTATATCAATCATAATTATCATATTTTATAATTAACAAGACGCAAAAATAATAGTTTTTTTATTTGAGTATTTTTTTTTATATTTTATTCATTTTTTCTACTGCTATTCTTAAAACGTTTGATGTTTAGGTTATGTTGACTGTAATCGTAAAGTTACGTTTGTATAAACATGTTCTAATAAATTTGTATTTGTAATATTTCAGAATTCTAATCTTGTTCTACAAGCCGATGTTCGATTAATTGAACGACGTAGTCGTGATGAAGCTACCGGTGAAGTTATGTCCCTTGTTGGGAAATTGGACGGCACAAGAATGGGTGATCGTGCTAAGAGAACTAGACCCGGCAAAGTTGAAGAACGTAAAGTCAAGTAAGTATTTTTCTATTGATCATTAGTATGTTGATTTTTTTTTATATTTTTCTATTATTAGTATATTATGCATCTAGGAGTTGACATGGGGTATTGTTGCCTCGAACCGGTAGCGTCAGTCAAGGCGTGCGGCGTATTCGGCTCGTGCGCATGTGCCGCCCGCCTCAACTGACACTATCGGTCCGAGACAATGACACCTGACTTATGCTCCTATATGCTCCTAATAACATACTATTAAATTCTGTTTCACAAGTTTTATTTGATAATTTTCTTGAAGTAATTAATGGTGATTATTCTTTTGCAGACGTCAGAAGAGAGATGAAGCTCAGTATGATTTTGCGAGAATGAAAGGAGCAACTTTACTTTCGGAAGGTATGGATGAAATGGTGGGCATAGTTTATCGTCCAAAAACTCAAGAAACTCGTCAAACATATGAGGTATTACTTAGTTTTATCCAAGAAGCTATAGGTGATCAACCTCGTGACATTCTTTGTGGTGCTGCTGATGAGGTTTTGGCAGTATTGAAAAATGATCGTTTGAAAGAGAAAGAGAAGAAGAAAGAAACAGAACTTCTGTTGGGTTCCTTAGCGGAAGAAAGATTTGCATTATTGGTGAATTTAGGAAAAAAAATAACAGACTTTGGTAATGAAGAAAAGACAGTTGCGAGTGAAGAAAATATTGATGAGACTTACGGTATTAATGTTCAATTTGAAGAAAGTAGTGAAGAAGATGATGAAGATGTACATGGTGAAGTAAGAGAAATTGATGATGATGGAGAGGAAGGTGAAGAAGCAAACGTTAACCGTGCAATCCATGCAGAAAATCTCGGTGGAAATGAAGAAACAAAAAAAGAAAAAACTCTTCATCCTCTTGATATTGATGCATATTGGTTGCAAAGAAGGCTCAAAGAAATATACAATGATGCTATGGTATCTCAAGCAAAAGCCGCTGAAGTATTGGCAGTCTTAAGAGATGCAGGAGATGATCGTGATTGTGAAAATCAACTAGTTCTTCTTCTTGGGTATGATTGTTTCAATTTTGTTAAGCAATTAAAAAAGCACCGTCATATGATTGCTTATTGTACAATGTTAGCATCATCTCAGTCTGAATCAGAGCGTCAAACAATACGAAATAAAATGAACGATAATCCAACTCTAGCAAAAATTCTTCGACAATTGGATACAGGTAAAGGTGAAGAAGATGCTGACGAGACTATGGAAGCAAGAACACAAAGAAAAAGAATCGAAGAAAATGAAGATACTGGTGGTCCAGCAGGTCAAGTTCAAGGAACAAGGAATATTATCGATCTTGAAGATCTTACTTTTGCACAAGGATCTCACTTTATGGCTAATAAACGATGCCAACTTCCTGATGGAAGCTTTAGAAAGCAAAGAAAGGGATATGAAGAAGTCCATGTTCCAGCATTAAAACCTAAGCCTTTTGGCGAAAATGAAAAATTACAGCCAATTGATCAACTCCCAAAGTATGTTCAACCGGCATTTGAAGGATTTAAAACATTGAACAGAATCCAAAGTAGACTTCATCATACAGCACTTGAAAGTGATGAAAACCTACTGTTATGCGCTCCAACTGGTGCTGGTAAAACTAATGTAGCTTTACTTTGTATGATGCGAGAAATTGGCAAGCATATTAATTCTGATGGAACCATCGAAGCTGATCAGTTTAAAATCATCTATGTCGCTCCAATGCGTTCACTGGTACAGGAAATGGTAGGAAATTTTGGAAAACGTTTGGCAAGTTATAATTTAACTGTTTCCGAGTTGACAGGAGATCATCAATTAAATCGAGAACAAATAGCTGCAACTCAGGTGATAGTATGTACTCCGGAAAAATGGGATATTATAACAAGAAAAGGTGGTGAAAAAACATTTACCAATTTAGTACGGTTAATTATCATTGATGAAATACACTTACTACATGATGAACGAGGTCCTGTTCTTGAATCTCTAGTAGCTCGAACTATTAGAAATATAGAAACAACACAAGAAGATGTTCGTTTAGTTGGATTATCTGCTACTTTACCAAACTACCAAGATGTTGCACGATTTCTAAGAATTAAGCCAGAAACAGGGCTATTTTATTTCGACAACAGTTTCCGACCAGTCTCTTTAGAGCAACAGTATATAGGAATTACTGAAAAGAAAGCTTTAAAACGATTCCAAGTTATGAATGAAATCGTTTATGAGAAAACTATGGAACATGCAGGACGAAATCAAGTTTTAATTTTTGTTCATTCAAGGAAAGAAACTGGAAAGACAGCCAGAGCTATTAGAGATATGTGTTTAGAGAAAGATACTTTGGGTCAATTTTTACGAGAAGGTTCTGCATCGATGGAAGTACTTAGGACTGAAGCTGAACAAGTAAAAAATCAAGAGTTAAAAGATCTCCTTCCCTACGGATTTGCAATTCATCATGCAGGCATGACAAGAGTAGATCGTACTCTAGTTGAAGATTTATTTGCTGATAGACATATTCAAGTGTTGGTATCTACTGCTACGTTAGCTTGGGGTGTAAATCTTCCAGCCCATACTGTAATCATCAAAGGTACACAGATTTACAATCCAGAAAAAGGCCGTTGGGTTGAGCTTGGAGCTTTAGATGTACTTCAGATGTTAGGGCGAGCTGGTCGGCCTCAATATGATACTAAAGGAGAGGGTATTTTAATTACTAATCATAGTGAATTACAATATTATTTATCACTTTTAAATCAGCAGCTTCCTATTGAATCACAATTGATAAGTAAAATGCCTGACATGCTAAATGCTGAGATTGTTCTTGGAACAATTCAAAATATCCGAGATGCTGTACTGTGGCTTGGATATACTTATTTATATATCAGAATGCTTCGATGTCCTCATCTCTATGGTATCAGTCAAGATAAACTTAAAGAAGATCCACTTTTAGAACTTCATAGAGCTGACCTTATTCATTCAGCAGCACTTTCTTTGGATAGAAGTGGATTGATTAAATATGATCGTAAATCTGGAAACTTCCAAGCAACTGAACTTGGAAGAATTGCATCACATTACTATTGTACTCATGAAACAATGTCAACTTATAATCAACTATTGAAAAGAACTTTAAGTGAGATAGAACTATTCAGAGTTTTTTCTTTATCTAGTGAATTTAAAAACATTAATGTACGTGAAGAAGAAAAATTAGAATTACAAAAATTGATGGAAAGGGTTCCTATACCGATTAAAGAAAGTATGGAAGAAGCTAGTGCTAAAGTTAATGTTCTTTTACAAGCTTTTATATCACAATTGAAACTTGAAGGATTTGCATTAATGTCAGACATGGTTTTTGTTACACAATCAGCATCAAGATTAATGCGAGCTATTTTTGAAATCGTATTATATCGAGGTTGGGCTCAATTGGCAGATAAGTGTCTGTCTCTCTGCAAAATGATTGATAGAAGAATTTGGCAATCTATGTCTCCACTAAGGCAATTTCGTAAGATGCCAGAAGAAATAGTGAAAAAAATTGAGAAAAAAAATTTCCCATGGGAAAGACTTTATGATCTTGGTCCTAATGAAATAGGAGAATTAATTCGAGTACCTAAATTAGGTAAAATGATACACAAATACATTCATCAATTTCCTAAACTCGAATTATCAACACACATCCAACCAATTACTCGTTCTACCTTACGAGTGGAGTTAACAATCACTCCAGACTTTCAATGGGACGAGAAAGTCCATGGTACATCCGAAGCCTTTTGGATTCTCGTTGAAGATGTAGACTCTGAAGTCATTCTTCATCATGAATACTTTTTACTCAAAGCTAAATATTCTACAGATGAACATCTTATCAAATTTTTTGTGCCAGTATTTGAACCATTACCACCGCAATATTTTCTACGAGTTGTGTCTGATAGATGGATTGGAGCGGAATCACAATTACCTGTAAGTTTTCGTCATTTGATTTTACCAGAAAAAAATTTACCACCGACGGAACTTCTTGATTTACAACCATTACCTATAACAGCATTACGAAATCCCAAGTTCCAAAGTCTTTACATGGATAAATTTCCTCAGTTTAATCCAATTCAAACTCAAGTATTCAATGCCGTTTATAATTCTGATGACAACGTATTTATTGGTGCTCCAACTGGTTCGGGAAAAACTACAATAGCAGAGTTTGCAGTGTTACGATTATTAACACAAAACTCTGAAGGTAGATGTGTATATATGGTCAGTAAAGAGCCATTAGCAGAGTTGGTGTACTCAGATTGGCTGGTAAAATTTAATCACCAGCTTGGTAGGAAAGTCGTGCTTCTTACTGGAGAAACTGGCACAGATCTGAAACTTCTTGCCAAAGGACAGATTATTATAACAACTGCAGATAAGTGGGATGTACTTTCACGTCGTTGGAAGCAACGTAAAAATGTGCAAAACATCCAGCTTTTTATTGTTGATGAGTTGCAGTTAATTGGTGGAGAGGATGGGCCAGTTCTAGAAGTAGCATGCTCGAGAGCAAGGTATATTTCATCACAGTTAGATAAACCAACAAGAATTGTTGCCTTATCTGCATCTCTAGCTGATGCCAAAGATGCTGCACAATGGCTTGGAGCACCCGCTGCAGCTACATTTAATTTCCATCCATCGGTGAGACCAGTTACCCTTGACCTTCATGTTCAAGGAATAAATATTACTCATAATGCCTCTAGACTAGCTGCTATGGCAAAGCCAGTATACAATGCTATCCTCAGATATGCTCCTCATAAACCCATCATCATCTTCGTACCAACTCGACGACAAGCACGATTGACTGCCATTGACCTCCTCACTTTTGCTGCAGCAGAAGGTCAACCTTCAAAATTTTTCCATGCTGAAGAATCTGACATAAAACCATTCTTAGACAGGATGAGTGATAAAACTTTACGAGAAACACTCTCTCAAGGTGTAGCATATCTTCACGAAGGACTATCAGTAGATGATCGCCACTTAGTTGAGAGATTATTTGATAGTGGAGCTATCCAAGTAGCTGTTGTTACTCGAGATTTATGCTGGGGACTTTCGATCAATTCTCATCTAGTTGTTATTATGGATACACAGTGTTATAATGGTAAAACACATGCATACGAAGATTATCCCATTACAGATGTGTTGCAAATGGTAGCACGTGCTAATAGACCTTTAGAGGATCATGATGCTAAATGTGTCTTATTGTGTCAAAGTTCAAAGAAAGACTTTTTCAAGAAATTTTTAAAAGAACCTCTACCAGTAGAAAGCCATCTAGATCATCGTCTTCATGATCACTTCAATGCTGAAATTGTTACAAAAACTATTGAGAACAAACAAGATGCTGTTGATTATTTAACTTGGACATTCTTATATCGAAGGCTGACACAAAATCCTAATTATTATGGCTTACAAGGTGTCACTCATCGTCATCTATCTGATCATCTTTCTGAATTAGTTGAAAGAACTCTTAGTGATCTAGAACAAGCTAAATGTGTTGCAGTTGAAGATGAAATGGATACACTTCCTCTAAATCTTGGAATGATTGCTGCTTACTATTATATCAATTATGCAACGATAGAGTTATTTAGTCTTTCACTTAACAGTAAAACAAAAATACGAGGACTTTTGGAAATTATCTCGGCTGCTGCGGAATATGAAACAGTTCCCGTTAGACAACGTGAAGAGAACTTATTAAGAAGTTTAGCACAAAGGTTACCACATGCCCCACAAGCTACAAGGATGGCAGATCCTCATGTTAAAGCACAATTACTTCTCCAAGCTCATTTATCTCGGATCCAACTTGGTCCAGAATTACAAAAAGATACAGAACTGGTTTTAAATAAGGCTATAAGGCTCATTCAAGCTTGTGTAGACGTCTTGAGTTCTTCTGGTTGGTTAGCACCTGCTGTAGCTGCTATGGAACTAGCACAAATGGTAACGCAAGCAATGTGGTCTAAAGATTCATATTTGAAACAATTGCCGCACTTTACTAGTGAAACTATTAAGCGATGTACTGAAAAGGGTGTTGAAACTGTTTTTGATGTTATGGAGTTAGATGATGAAGACCGAAATAGACTTTTACAATTAACTGATGCCCAAATGGTTGATGTTGCTAAATTTTGTAACCGATATCCAAATATTGAAATGTCTTATGAAATTCAAGATAAAGATAAACTTCACAGTGGTGGTACTGTTAATGTCATTGTTCAATTGGAAAGAGAAGATGAAGTGATTGGACCTGTCGTAGCACCATTCTTCCCACAAAAAAGAGAAGAAGGTTGGTGGGTTGTTATCGGAGATCCTAAAACCAACTCACTGCTTTCCATCAAGAGGCTAACACTCCAACAAAAAGCCAAAGTTAAACTGGACTTTGTAGCTCCCGCTGCCGGACAGCACTCTTATACTCTGTATTTCATGAGTGATGCTTATCTTGGTTGCGATCAAGAGTACAAATTTACACTTAATGTTGGAGAATATGAATCTGAAGGCAGCTCAGGATCAGATTCAGAATAAATTAACATGACTTTATATTCGAGAGATAATAATTTTTTAAATAAAAACAAAATAAAAATAACAGTTAAATAAATTAAGGCTTATGTTAGTTTTATTTTGTCACACAGTCAACATATTATATTCCAATGAAATATATTGTGATCATTCATTTTAACTTTGTAATAAAGATGTCATAAAAATATCATTACTTAGAAAATTATATTAATTTTCTACAAAATTCTCTTGGATATAATTTGTATAAAAATTGTAATATACACATTGATCCAGAATTCAGTGTGATAGATTTTTATATCATTTTGATTAGAGTGTATAGTTGTTATTGAATTTGTTAGTTAAGTAATTGAATAAAATTATAACATTGTAAGAATCAATAAAATATATGTGATAAGAAAAAAAATTTTTTTGTATTTTTATTTCAGTTAAATTTTTATTTTTGATGATACATCAATGACTCTGATAGGAACATTAATGAATGTTTGATAATAATTTATTTAAATCTTAATTTTATATAAGTAATCTTGTATCATCATTATATCACTTATTTAGTTACAATATATAAATATTAAACTTCATTGTTTAGCTCAATTATCAAGATAATCCATTTAACTTTCACAATGATAACTAGTAATTATAATTAATAGCGCTTTTAAATATGTATGAATTTATAAATAATTATTTTTTTCAACTTTTTTTTTTTACGGAAATTTTATATTAAAATGTTTTCTCATACAGGATAAACCTCAGGTCCAAACTTTTATTCATTATTTTATTATCATACAATAATATCTAAAACAGTCAACATGTTTAATTAATAATCATTCCTTTATTACTCACGTTATTTAGAATTAACTTGATGCAATAATGGTTGCAAATAAATTTTTGAAAAGATTAGATATATATGTATAAATATAGAAATATTTTTTAAAATTTTTATTCTCTTAAAAAAATATTAAAAAAGATTAATATAAAAAGTAAAAGTAAAAATTTAATCACAGAAATGTTTGAGTAATGCAAGCATTTTTGCATCAACTCAATAGAGTAATTCAAAGAGAGATATGTTCAGCGAAGTTAGGGCTATCTGGAAGTACATTATACACAATGGGACGGATCTTTTGTTGGGGTTTTTTTTTATTTTGTTATGGCATACAGAAGCCAAAAAAAAGTGGATAAAGCATAAAAAAATAGCATTGGAAACTAGACACTTAAAACCGGTTATGTTTTTAATTCCATTAACACTTAATCGAAAACCACTGCTTATTTTCCATCCTTTTATATTTTTAGTTTATTTCTTCATTTTGTTTAGTTACTTAATCCATAAATTATTTTATCATTGAAATAATCTACAACTGTTCAGCATGTTTAGTGAATTCATTAAACATATAATTAACTCATATTGAATTATGTTAAATAAAATTTCAATTTGAACATCCTGTAAATTATAGTGTAAAAAGGTATGTAACACAATCAAATAACTAGTAGTTTTATTATGAAAAATAAATTCAATTTATGACCTTGCAGTTATTGTCGATACTATGAAGAGAACCAGCTCTAATTGACAATTGAAAGTGAACGTAAATTTATATTTATATCATGTTTTGCCCTCAAGAAACATCACAAGCATCGATGGAATGATATATCTGAGCATACAGATCAGATAATGCAGTAAAAATAGAAGTTCATGACTCGTGAGTCAAAAGGAATCAATATTAATAGAATGTCTATTACAAATCATAAGTGCCACTAACAGCTATTGAATCTATAAATCAATCATCAAATAATTTCATTCTAATTATTCATTGATGATTTGATCTCGTAGCTAAAATTTTTGATTCAATCAAATTCAATTGGAGTTACGTAATAAAAATAATAAATTAAATTGCCTTTTTCTAAAGCAACTGACTCGTTAAAATTCAATTTTTGAATAAAAATAAATTGATTTCTATATGATTATTATAGTTAGAACAATTTTCTTCCATTTATTAAGTTGAATCTGTTTCAATTGAAACTTTTAAACAAGGTCCGCTCATTTCCGCCTGAAGACTTTCATCAGGTTCATCATCAACATTGTGCAACCAATTAAATATCATCATATTTCTTTCATACTTGGTCAATTGTTTACCACGTTCACGTTCAACATCTCGAACTGTAAGCAAATGATCTTTCGCCTTATGACCAACTATTGATGGTCCAGCTATGTTTGGTACTGTTCCAGGTACTACAAGCGTAGCTCCAGGCGTTGTTTGAGCTGCGGAGGCTGCTGCTTCAAGTCTATCCAAGTTAAACTCACTTTGCGAAAGCCTTTCTAGAGCTCGGTAAGTTGTTAGCAACCTGTTGAATAATTACAATCTTTAATGAACATTTAATTGACATCAATATTTTTCTATCTATTTAAATAAACTACTTTAGCTGAGATTTTAATTATTTTCTTTATTAAAAAATTGGAATATTATTTTATTTTCAAGTGCATGCTATCAATATAATAAGTTACCTGCGTTGAATGTAATTTTGACGAATTTTTTTGTTGACAGACCGCACAAGATCGGCAGAAGAAGGTGTTTGATGTGTGGTTCCTCCATGAGGACTAGGCAATTGTGATGTGCTTGCAATATCACCAACCGCAACCCAGGTGCTACATGTTCTAGAAGCGTGATCAAGTCTTGTTTGCTCCAAAAGTAAACCATGGCGATCAGCTGAATCTAAAGCCAGCACAGAGACTGCAGATCGGACTGTCTGCGGAAATGAGGCTTCCGGACTAGATAATTGGAATACGTCGCTTGTGCTAAAGCTTTTCTGAAGACCAAGGGCTGATGAGAGAGCACCACAACTACGGATGAGTTCCGTTTCGTCTTCAAACCACAGGCTCTCTGGAATGTCGGCAGGCCTGATATCCCAGGTATTGTTAGAATGACTATTATGTTATAAGCATATACATTCCGCGGATGTTATTGAATAGAATATACAAATATTATCATTATTAAAGTTATTATTGATTTAAAATTAAAAGTTTAATAGTATTTATCATAAATTATTATTAGTTTCTTGTCTCAAGTCAATAATAACATACTTCAGCCTAAAACTTTGCATCAACTATCATCGAGTTAGACTTAAACTCTATTATCATGAAAGGACACTTCGATATATTGTACGATTATTAAATTACTCCTAACTAATTAGCCATCGTATTCACTATTTTCAAGTAAAGTGAGTTTAGATGACCAGAGAATGCATGTCGATCGATCGATACATCTTTAAAGATAATTAAATAGCCTATATCATGCAAAAAAGTAGAATAAATGAAACTTACCTTTGGCCCTGATTAATACGAGTATCTGGATTTGGTGACGGTTCACGAATGGCCAGCTGAGCATCACTAAAAGATTTAAAGGGCTGGCGATTATTACTTTTCGTATCACTTGCTATCGATGACACAGTGAATAGAGATAAATCTGTTGTGACACTTTCATGACTTGGCGATCGAAGCATTCGACCAACAGGAGGTTGGGTGACTAGAGTGCAGCCTGCCGAAGGTACTGGTGATGCTGGTTTAGCTTCTGCTTCTGACATTTCTTTTTATTTAATTGTCTTTCCTTCTTTGTTTATTATTATTATCTTTATAAATATTCTTATGATAATACTATCAAACCAACTTTACTTGATAATCATTTCTCACTTAAGTCATGTAAAATAAATAACTTAATGTCACTTTAACTTGATATTATAAACAAAATTTTAATCCTTCACAGGTTGCACAAAATCAATAGACCACAGATAGTATAACAATCAAGATGAAATCTTATCTTTTGTCCAACAAAAGACTAATTGGATCTGATGACGTCTTCGATTATTGCAGCATTAGGTAAGTATAATTCCATTTTGAATAGAGATACTTTTAGTAGATTTTATTTAGATCAATATACTTTACGATGATCAGACTGTCGTTAACAGATTACTTTAGACATCATTTTACCATCAGTTTCTTTACTTTTGCTGATCTTATTTTTCCTAAAAAAAAAAGAAGAATAGTTATTCCAGATCACGAACCAATTATATGTTGTAGTATAAAAACGTGCTCATGGGTTCTTAATGACATTATGAGCATTATCTAGTTGATTCTTTCTGTTAAGTAGAGATTGAATTTAAAAAAAAAGTGATTCAATTTTTTTTAGAATTGTTTAATCACTTTCACAATGCTTATTATTAATTATTCTTATTAAATCATATTTCACGAAAATTAGAAAATATTACTTAATAAAAACATCAGGATAAAATATTCTAGATTATCTGCTTTAAATGATATACAAAAAATGTTGAATTTAAATTGTCTTGTAGATTAATTGAACTATTTTTCATCAAGTATTTTTGAAAGCTGAGAAATATATTTCACTTATTCTTGTGAACAAATAAAATTCCTGGCTTTTACTAAATTTCACTTTAATTCTATGATAAAAGAAACATTTTTTTGCTGTCATGATTAAGCTTGAATAGTTTATTTAAATAGTTCATTTATTTATATTAATTAGGAAATATGTACCTTATTACGGAGCTCATATTCTGTCTCGATTAGCAATATCTGAAACAACTGAAACGTTATAAGTATTCAAAATCATCCACTATTTTATTCAAGTATCATTAAGTCAACCAATTTCCCATGTACTCATTTTATTTTGATTTACGTCTTATTTAAAAAATTATATGAATTAATTAGGCGTTACTAAATGACTATTGTTAGAATATGAGCTTCGATATAGGTATCTGAGGCACTCATTTGTTAATAAACTCTGACAGAAATCCTCCAATTCTCTGTGGCTAAGCTTCATGCAACTAAGACTAAATAGTGTTTAACAGGTGAAATGACTTCAAGCTTGGAATAGATAGATTAACAACAGCTGGCTAATTTTTACAGAAGTGAATTAATTATCGACGTATTAATGAAACTGCATATCGTACATGTGAATGCAATTTACTTTGTAATTTAGAATGAGTTTGAATTATTTGTAAATTGAAAAAACATTATTTTGCACTGGAAAAAATTATACCAAAGAAGAAACTTTTTATTCCTTTTATGAAAGTACAGCCCATTTTTCTACAGAATGCTTTTATCTTGATGTTAGGTAATTTTTTCTACCATTTAAAAAAACGTGTTCAGCTTTGCTCCAATTTTTAAAATAATTGTTGTTATGTTACATATCTTAAAATGTTTAAATGTTGGAATATTTTAACAATAATTTGTGCAACTAGTTTTTTTAAAAGAATATTAATAAATAAAGAAATTCTATTTATCATTCTTTTGACAGAATTGATCGATTATTTAAAATTAATATCTATTCATCCATTTTTGTCACGTTTAATAATCTGAAATTTCCAACTGAAATGGAGAAGTATTGAAAAAGTTTAATAATCCCAAAGCTATGAATAATAACTCAAATCAAATATTTAAATAATCGAAATCTGTCCAGATATCCAAGTCATCATCAACTTCAAAAAAAATATTTATTAATATAAAATATCAATACTAAAAAGAAGAATTTGATGGTATCAATCTAAAAATTCGTTCATATGATCTGCTATTTATCAATATTCAAGTTCAGCTTACTAGAAAATGTCAAAAACTCTTTCATAATTCATAATATTTTAGTAAAACTAAATCAATTCAAATTTAGCAAGGTATCAAGTAATCTCCATAAAAGTTTGTGTAAAAAAATAAATTTTAAATCATTAGTTTTCATAGTCATACTGATATAAAAATTATACATAATTCTTTTTTTTTACTCAAAATAACTACATTTTAATTCCTAAGTGATTATATCACTATTATTGTTATTAAAACTTTTCTAATTTAATAAATTGAATTCTCAGGAATTTTTATGTAATACTTGGAAGATCAAAATACCAACAATTTAATTAAATGTATATATATATAAAAGGTTGTCAGTATAGTAATAAGTTATTATCGATTGTTATAAGCTGTTTTCATAGACAATGTATTTATTAATTTATTATAATTCTATCTCAAGGTTATATAGTCCAACAGTATATAACCCAAGTTTTTAACCCCTCATTGTTCTACATTCAATAGCAGAGCTTTGTACCTCATTTCTACTTTACAATTTCAATGCAAAAAAAAAGAAGTATCCCACAAGCGTATACATATCGTTCAACTGATCGGTGAATTATTCATTGACCATACGTGTTGCAGCATCACGATCACTTAACTATGAACACTCGCTGTTCTTTCCGACGCAAAAAATTGCGTTCATGAAGATACCAAATTACCGGTTTAATCATTCCATCTTATTAATCTTTTTAACTGTTTTATTTAAGGTTATGCAATTATTTCCTTCAATGGTATAATTTTTTTCTATTATCATAACACCGATGAAAACGTTGAAAGAAATAAAAACAAATGGTGAATACACCAGTGTATATCATTGTATTCAGCTCACAATAAATAACTAAAACACAAAAAATAAACCACACATTAAAATAAGAATAAATTTATACAGTGTAGATTTTTTTTTTAAACAATTCATTGAATGAAATTAAATTTATACGAAAAAAGTGATATAAAGGAATGTAAAATTGCAATTAATTGAATGGATAGTAAAAATAATAATAAGATACACACGCATACACATGAAACTTATTCAATGACCTAGTGATAATTACTGTAATACCTTGTCAAGGGTGGAATGGCCTGTAACTCAAGACTAAGTTGGAGAGAACACGAAAATGTTGCGACACACTGGCTGTGGATGAATGGCGATTGTTTCCGGTATATGGGGTTGCTGTGCAGAGAGTCTTTACTGCACAGGCGTCGATCGATAGGGGCGAGGGAGGACACACGCGAAACATTCTTCCTTGTCTAGTGTTCTTATTTTTTTTCTCTCTGTATTCTTCTTCAGCTTATTCACTCTCTTGTCATCAAGGAATAGGTTATTTCAGGCAAAATTTCTTATTGAAGATTTCTTTATGCTATGCAGCTTTTGTTGGTAATTTCTATCAATACCGATTTGGTTTTAGTAGTTTTTTGTTACATTTTTTGTCAAGTAGTTCGATAGAAATAATTCACAACAAAGATCATATCAATTATTGTTCTTTATAAAGAATAATTATAAATTTATTAACAATATATTGTTAATAAGTTTTTTTTGTTAACTTATTAAGTAGAATGTAAATTATAACCTAATTAAAGACTGAATTTTTATTTTTCAAATTTTCACTATTTTTTAAAATATATAATTGATGTCAGATTGTCAGAGAATTGTGGGTAATAAAAAAAAATGGTATCAAATACAATTTCATCACCCAAAAATACATAAGATTTAGGTTAATTAGTTTGAAGAGTTTTTACAAACATTTTTTTTGTTGATTTGTGTAATGGTTGACAATTTTAAAGAAAAGTTACAATTTTTTTGTTCTATTAAACAAAAAATGACTGCACTGATTTTGATCAAATTTAAGTTGAACCATGTTGACATTAATGCATCTCGAATTCTGTCAGTCGGAAATTAACCTCTTACTTTAATCGCAAGTTATCGTTGAGGAAAAATCTGTTCATCCATTTATAAACATCACCTACACTTTTATTAAAAAAAAATAATGTCAATGAACTTTTAATATTTTTAAACAAAAATTTATTCAGAAAAATATAAATTCATAATGTATTTTATCAGTTCTTATGTTAATGTATTAAAAACTTGTCTATTCAGTGAATTTTCCATTTGGAAATATATTGTGGCAGTCAAGAATGATATTGGGCTCAACATAGGCATCATCTTGGCAACCAAAACTAGAATATCATCACATATGCCAAAAAAGCTCAACTATGAAATGCATCAAAAGCATTTTAAAAATATTAATATATATTTTAAAGCTAAAAAATGGTTCAGTATTGTATCATACTTTTTTTTAATAATCGATATTGTTGATTATGATCACAGAAAATTATTAAACGAGATACAATGTTATAATATAATAAGTAAAAAAAAATTTCTCATGCAACTTTTATCGATAGTTAGCATGGTGCTAGAACAGTCAGCTATTTAACTCCAAAGAGTTATACAAAAAATAGCTTTTTAATTAACAAGTTTGCGCGTATAAAATAAATGAGTTTATTGACATGATCGCAAATATGATAATACAGCTAATTTGAAAAGTTTATATAATATAATATGAAAGTATTATATGTCGTGGATGAGTACCATAAACTCTGATCCTCTAAAAAGCAAGAAATGCAACAAAACATATACAACTCTTGGAAAATGATATTTATGAGATCTTGTAGTGCACACTGGTACACTCTACACGCGTGTAGCCGCGTATACAATGAAGCTCTTCTCTCATCAGCACTCTCATCGTGAGCTAGCAGTTTAGTTAGAGTTTTAGTTAGTGACGGTGTCTCTCGTGAAGCAGAAGAGGTTGCTAAAAGTGGAGACAAGAATAGAAATTATTAAAGAAGAGGGTAGTAACAGTTAATAAGCAAGACAATAAATTAACAAACTTCATCACGAAATTGGTAAGATGATCATATAATATTAGCTGATTGATTAGATGATCTTATTCGTTAAATAATAGACTAAAATTAATTTACTTCCGTGTATAAATTGGCACGGAATCTATAGCTATTTTTGACTAGATTACTCTCCCTCTTTCTCTGCTATTCTCTTGTTCGATTTTAATCTGATCTACTTTCTTTCTTTGCGTGTTGCTAAGCTTGATAATGATATGCAACATATTACTCATAATAAATATTTTAATTTGTTCAATTTCAAAGACCTATGATTTTGATTGGTAATACTTCAGATTGTTTCAATACCTATCTTGAATGATTAGATTAGAAGCTCTACATCACCATTCTAATTTTTCTATTTTTATGCAAATATATTCTAATTAATGAACTTGATTGCTTTTATAAGTATACTTATATCAATATAATAAATTGCTTTGAAATCAAAGATACTTTCTATTCGCTGAAAGTTATTTTTAAATAGCCACCAACAAATGATTTTTACATAGTAATTGATTATTTATCTTACATCTGTCTTAATAAAGTAGATAATTTAATGACTATTTTTTTGATGATGAATTCTAGAATAATATTAAGAAACTCAGGCATTTTCATCTACTATGTTAATTTTAAAACATTGAAGATAATAATTGAATGTACTGACAGCCATGGATTGTTCAATCTAGCATAAAAATAAACAATACCAAATGTTTTCGAAATACGTAAATGACAATAGTGTGACAAGAAAAAATCAGAGGCACTCTTGGAGCACACACCCACGTGCTAACTGTCATTACAAACAATATGCTATTCTGCTCCGCCTTCAAAACCTGTTTGTGAATGCTCTTCAATATTCAATATTACTTGGTACTTCATAAGATGATCTATATGTTATGTAGTCTAATCATCATTTTATATTTATCTCTTTTTCATTTGTCATGATTTCTTATTATTTCTTATTGAATCAAACATTGAGTAAATTTTTCACTTGGTCCTTGGAGTTGGGAACCACCGGAGGGTGCGGCCAATTGGCTCTGGCTATGAATAGCACTGTGATGTCGTGTCACAGTTAAGCCTCAAGCACAAGAGGAAAAAAGAGATGAAGATATTGAGAGAATGAGAGAGAAATCATGATGGTTTTAATATCACCAAGTTACAATGGTTGTGCCCACTTATGTTAGATCCAAATACCTAAATGCCTCCGCCCTACACGTAATCATATTCTTCAATATGTTGACTCGAGTTATTGAAAGAAATTCTGTTCATTCAAAGATTTATTTTTTTAACTTTTTTATTATGTCTATTATTTACTTCTATAATTCACTTTTATGTTTGTTCTTGAACTGTTTTAGAATGAATGATGATGAACTCTATTGAGAGAGACACCGTCACAACAACGAAGCGAAATTCCACTACATCAATGACGCTACAAAATTATGATGATGATGATGACAGCTGCTGCACTGTCAAAGCTTCACCACAGACAGAATCGAACTCTGTGGCAAGAAAACGACGAATGACAGAGCAGCTTTTGTCGAAGACTCCAAAAACACCTCGTCGAGGTTGTGAGAATGCCAATGACCCTGATTTGACACATAATATACTTGAAATAAGGGAAGATGATATCTCGAGTAACAGAAAAAATATGTCATCAGAGAATGTTTTTCAAGAGAACATTGCAATTGACTCTGACGGCAATCGACGAGATTGTAAACTATTGAAGAAACCACCAATGCATCCTGATGCGCCTAGCAAGCAGTTGATAGATGTTAATCGACGAGATGACACTAAAAGACTAAGAAAAACAGTCCAGTGGCTTGAAGAAAATGCTAGAAGATTAAGACAAGATCTTGCTGATGTTCGAATGGAGCTTCATGAAGAGAGAAAGGCTTTCAGGATAGCAAAAAGGGAATTTGAAGTAGCAATTAAAGAAGCTAAACTTCAAGAAGCAGTTAAACATCAAAGAATTATTGCCGAATTAAAAACAAGGTAATTATTTTGCATATTTTATGTTTGATTTTTTTTTGTAGTTTATTTGCTAATTAATTATATATATCTTTTTTCATTTTAGATTACTCTCACAATCCCCTTCACGAGTATCGAATGAATTTTCTGCTAATGCGAAAGCAGAACTTTTAAAAGAAATGAATCACAAACGCGAGTTATCTGTGGCAAAAAAACGCCTATCTGAAGCTGATGAAACGATACGAAAACTCAAATCGAACTCATTAGATCCAGGTGATCCAAGAAAAAAACGAATTAAATGCTTGGATGATACTGAACTACGTAGAATGGAGTGCGAAATTCGAAACTTACGAGAGGCGAACAAGAGACTCGATGAAAAACTTCTAGTGAGTTGTTTGACAAACTTTGAAAATAAGTAAACTAAATAGAAAATTGGATTAATGAATAGTAATTAGCATTATTATAAAAATACATAATAAAAATGGTTGATTAAGGTCTTAGGGTGTGCAATTGATGCCGATTTTTTTAACTTCATCTTGTAGCTATTATACTCTCTTTTTACTCCACCATCGACATCGATTTCTACACGAGTAATATGAATGAAAGATATAGAAAGCGGTTTCTTCCGCAACTTGTTTTTAGTTCACGCGTAAGCACGAGATACTTTTTTCATGTTCCTTTGGTGCACGAAACTTGCCTGTGGCTGTTGACCAAGCGTCGACGTGCTCTTAACTTATAAACACAAATCCTCTTTACAGCATCTTGAACAGCACGTGATGATAAATTTTTTCTCATGAAATTTGAGTAGCTACAAAGATAAGGGGAAATTTTAATCAATAATTATTAAAAAACAAAATTTATTTGAATTTTTTAAATTAAAAATATTGTTTATAACTTATATTATAAGAAGGAATTATAATTTGTCAAGATAATATTATACAAATATAGAATCCAATTAAAATGTTGATTACTTCATGAATTGAAAATGAATGCAAAACATTTGGATTTAATGAACAGTTTATTTTGATCAAGTGTGACAATTTCTTTATATTAATGCTGTAATTTCTATGAAATGAATTAATAGAAAACGAGCTTCAACTTATCCTTGACGAGCTAGAAGCGATTAGATATTGATAATGAGTGCTTAGTACCGCCCGTGGTATTTTTTGTATTGACAGGAATGAGTTGGTATTTAATCGTCAAGTAGAACTGACCTAGATTTAAGCTTGCTCAATTAAATTATTTATGTATAAGTATTAATAACATTATTCCATTGATGTATAGCAATTATAAACTTGTTACAATGTTTCTAGACCGTCACGGAGGCGGAGAGATGTCGTGCAGTTGAACTGAGAGTCCAACACGAGAAGCACGAAGCCGAGATGAGTGCCCTGAAGAAAGCACTCCGTAGCGACATGATCAAGATGGTGAGTCAGTTTGAGTTTATCGACTCTGCATTCTTTGTTCGTACAACCGAGCAAAGAGAAACAAAAAATGCGTTTAGTGGATATTTTTCCTGCTCCCCCATGCTTCTTCAGAATGATTTTGCGGACATGTGCCCTGAAGGGATACGTTTAAAACCCTATGGCACGCGAGATACTCCCACAGCTAAAGCAGAAGGTATAGTTATTAAAAATTAGGCCCTTCGAATCTGTAGAGTTGCTGAATAATCTTTGTTCTGTTGATCCTCTTATGAGTTGTACCATTTAGTTGGACAATAGTTTATCATCTCAAGGAAATACCTACCATACCACTATGGTAGGAACCCCAGAACATGTAATTACGTTAAATATTTTCCCACACTATTTGCAATATTTTTGCGTGCTTCGCTCTGTCTTCACTAATCGATTCTCAACATATATTTTTTTGTTTTAGTTCTTCATGCATTTGACAAATATACATACGTAAATAATAAAACAATTAAATTTTATTTATTCAATCGAATGTTCAAACATTCATGAATCAATGAATGTTTTTCTACAGCTGATGGTTCCAGGTTGATACCCATTGATAATTCAGTGTTAGACCAGTTTTAAAAATTCTGATGAAGGATTGAGGCTTGGCCAAAAGTTGATGCTAAGGTCTGATAAGAAGAACTGATTTAAGACCAGCTTTTTATCACTGCCAACCAAATGGACATTCTTTTGTTGATATTGGTGTTGATAAGAAGATTTATTAATACTCATGCAAAAAATTGATCAAAGGCAAATACTTGATAGACAATCAACTAGAAAATAATGGATATTTTATTCACGATAAACTAATTACATTATTAATTTCTTGCTAACATATGAAAGAAAAACTTGAACGAATATAATGAAATTAAAGTGACAACTATTACTTTTAAACGATCATACTTTTCACAACTTAAATGGATACTTTCAAATGCTTCTAAACGATTATTTTCACTAGTTACGAGCAATCTAAGTAGGCCAACAACTGTCTTCAATGATAAACAACTATGTGTGCTAAAAAGATCTTTCATTAGAAATGGAAAAAAATTAATGAGGAAAGTTCAATGATTTTTATGAGCCAATCTAAGTTATTATTTATGATAGCTAAAAAGCTATTAAAGTGAGTTATTTAGATAGAAAATTAAATAACACGAATAATAATTAATCAATAACTGGAAATAATTTTATAATCACCATTTTCTTTTGTTAGAATGGTCATTTCTTATTACCTTCTAAGAAAATGAAGATCATTTTAGCTTTCTTACTGCTTATGTATAATTCAACAACATCACGTAGTACTGTGATGAAGAATAGATAGATGAAATGAAGAAGAGAAAGAAAAGAAGGTAAAAAGACAATTTGGGAAATGGAAAAGGAAATTTATACTCTGGGAAGGTGATCATACGTCAAGTATACCTTTCTCGTGCTAGTATATATACATGTAAAAAGTATCGTATTTACTTGTTGGACGCACAACAATAACCAACGTGTTCGCACGCTCAGTGGTTTGGCCCTTGGACTGAGAAAAAGAGAGAAAAATTTCATGTTGTTGAGTACAAGTGAGAACCTCTTAGAAACGTGACTCGAGGGGTTCTTCTTATTTTGTTCAGCTAATATATAGACTCGCGTGCTCGCGCTTTGACGAGTATCCATCCTAATGCATCCTTACCCATCGTCCTTTTGATTCTGCACATGTAAAGTGCAGTGTAGAATTTTATCCTCAGGCTTAATGAATTTGTAAGTAGACCTGCTGATGCTGAGCGTGTGAATTTTGGTGGTAATCAAACGAGTTTCTTAACGATGACCTAGACCGTGGGAAGATGTTTTATCTCTCTCACTTTGTCATTATCCACACCTTGATGTTCTTTTATATTATTTCATTTAGTTTGAATGAAAATTAGACTTGTTAGTGGAAAATTATTGACTTAGTTATAACAAGTCCTTAAAAAGAGAAAGGCCAATCGTTCAAGGATAACATTGTGATAACATCTCCTTTCTTCCTCTCTCTCTCTCATTCAAGTTGAACTCATTATCATACTGAACATTCAAATACATCGATTTGATTAACGACTATTATTTATCATTCCTTTTGTGTCCGAGAAAATTGAATAAAAAAAAAACACAATACTTTGTGTTGCATCTTGTATCATATGTGAATACGAACTATATACAGAGACACTTATTGCAAAACCGGATGCCTGCAGAGTCTTTTTCCGTGTTTCTAAAAGACCTTGCGTGTACACAGCCGTTTCCTACGGATCTTTTCGATGGCATCATTCACTGTTTTGTTGAATATCACATTAAATTAATGTTTGCAAATTTTTTCTAGCTAAATTGAGTTTTAATTTGCAGTAATTGTTGGTTTAATCCATGAATAATAATTTTTTATCAACATGCAATATATTTTTTTTTTAGATATTATTGTTTAATCAATTATTATTAATTAGCGAAAAAATAAAGGAAATAATTTACAATTTACTCCAAAACTAAAATCGAATTTTTAACTTCCTATTAGGAAGTCATTGTAATGGGGTCGATTTAAATTTGTTATAAATAAAAAAAACTCAAAGATGACAGAGTTGTGGATTTTAATAAATGTAAAGTGTTCCCAGATTTATTTTAATATTTTTTATTAAATGTTTTTAATCATGACGATTCTTTAAAAATTATACATTTAATTTATTCATAAACTTGGTTATTCAAAACCATGTTTATTTTTTGCTGAGAAAAATAATGGTTAAATTTGATCTTGATGTCAATGAGATTAACAAACAATAATAAAATGAATGATACTTATTATTCAAGAAGGTTGCTGTTACACTTGGAAGGAGAATGGAGACAAAAATGCAAAACCTTTCTCTTTGCAGCATATCGCCACTAGCGATTGATAAATAATTTAAAGTATTGAGTGAAAGCCAGGAGCTGCGTGTGAGCAAGAGAAATAACCAGTTGGTTTTTTTTCTTGAGGGAAAGAAACATTAAACTAAAAAAAAGAAGATTTTGAAAAAAATGATAATTATCAAGAGTTAAATGACCACATAAGCTATCATTGTTGGTCACTTTTCGCACCATTTCCGGAAAACTACTCATGGCTCAGTTTACATTTTAGAAATGAAGGTGAATGGACTTTAAAGCTAAAAAGGGAAAGATATGAAGGAAGACATAATTTTCTTTCGATTTCATTTTTATGTTATTGGAAAAAATACAAAAAAGAGCAAGAGATCAAAGTAAAACGTTTCTTCCCAGTTACCTTTTCTCTCTCTTGGGTGTTCTTTCAGGTACACCGGAGGTCTCACGCAGATGTAAGGTTACCGTCAGATCTACCGAAAAAAAAAATGAATTGACTTTACGGAGAAAGTCGGTTTTTGGGCTGGAACATTCATCAAATCAATCTTCTTCCCCTCTCTTATTTTTGAGCATTGTTTTATTTCGCGTACCTTCCATGTGCTTATCTATTATCACATCTAACTCTTTTAATGCATTACATTTTTCAGATGGACGAGATACGAGCGAAAGACAGGGAGATTGAAAAGTTGGAGAAACTTACAAAGCGGAAACTGAAGGACAAAGAAAATAAATTGGTATGGTGAGCTTTGTTTACTTTGTTTTTTGCTGACTAATTTTTAGATTAAAATAAAAACCAACTAAAAGTTGTAATAGATTCAATAAATTATATGGAAATGTTAGATTTACTGAAAATAATAATTGACACAGCTGGATATTTGAATTGAAATATTCTCGATTTAGACAGCAAAATTTATATGTTTATTTGAATATAATATGAATTTTATGATAAATAAATAACTCATATGTATTCAACTGATTATCTTAGAGTTTTTGAAGGACAATTATTTAATAGAAATTTTGAAAAATTAATTTATTCATTGTTTTTGGTATCCACATGATTTTTCTATAACAAACAAACAATAATACAACAATTAACAATAGTAACAACAATTAATTAATAATAAATTATTATTTATTATTAATATTTAACAAGTTTAATATTGTTAAATTTCTAAGACATAATTTATTTTAAATAAGAGTTAGGGGGGGGGAGGGCTATAAAGGGTTAAGTGTAAAAATAATAAGCATGAACTCATTGACTATTTTTTCAAGTTAAAAAATAATTCTCAATATGTGAAGAAAGAAAAGAAATATTATTATTCCACTATTTTTAATTTTATAAAATATTTAAGGAAAGGTAGATTTAAAAAAAAGAAATAAACCATTCATTTATTTTCATTCAAATATTTTTGATTTAGTTAATTGGTGAATGCCTAACTGTTTAAAATATTTGGATTTATCGTGAAAAGTGATGAGTAATCAAAGATACTAATTTTCCATTTACTTTATCATTAATTGTTTTTCAAAAAAAAAAAGAAAAAAAATATATAAGTGATGAAAAATATAAAGTAAAAGATAGGAGAGTGCAGGTTCTATAAAAGCATCTCAGAACAAAGTTGTTCGGGATGTAATGTACTTAAGTTGATAGTGGTTTTTTACCAAATGATAACAAGTACTTGGTTTTGTCGCACGTGTGTCTCTACGTCTGGGTGACGCATTTACTTTTTAAAAGGCTGCTTGTCTTCTATCACCTAGTGATATCAAGAATATTATTGATGTTTGCTTTCACAAGACACCGCTCCATTATATGTGACACCGTATCGTTTGCTGCATATAGCTTCCACTCATTACTAACAGAAGAGAATAAAATAAACTCGTGTGTGTTTGTTTGTAAGAATCACCTCCGGATTCTTTTGGGAATATAATCGTTAGCACTCGAGAACGCTAATGACGAGTACGTGGAAGCGTTTAATCGTTTTTTTTTTACCTTCTGAACTCTTGAGTTACTCGTATATATCTTTATTGAGGAAGGCTCGCGCCGACTAGTCGGTTTATCACACAGGCGACACATTTTTTCGATTCCGGACGAGCTGGCGGGAGGCCTCTGGACACCCAGAAGTCATCAGTCTGTGAGGTCCATGCCGTTCGTTGTCGGCGAACTTCCAAAGTTGATATTTCCTTCTAAATAAAACTTTTTCTCGCGCGTGATAATAGACATCAAGGTGTGATCTCTCAACTTCATAACGGTCAATCCTTATGCACACTAAAATGCTGGGATTTTTCGTTATTTTAATCTAAGGACCACAAAGAATAAACATTGGAAATAAAAACATCAACATTTCATACATTTTTGGAACACTTTCAATTAATTAAACATAACATTATTAATTACCTTTCAAACAGTTTGTCTATCAATTTTTTTAGAGGGATTATATAATAATTAAAAAAAATGTATTTATTATAATGATCACATTTATACGGAAATGAATATTTTATTGTGCTCTTTTCCAACCCAAGCGACACTTTCATAATTTCCCCTTTCTTCACGGTGGAGATTAATTACATGTTTTGACCAAACAGTTATTTTACAACAAAATTATAGATACATTTTATTAGTTTATTGACTCTTTTTTTTTATTGCTAATCAACTCTATTAATCCAAGCTGTATTTTTTATGACAAATTTTATTTAAATATTTTATTCATAAAACTTGCCATAAGATCTGTATACAATTTTTATAAAATGAAGCTCCATGTGACATTTTTGTGGGCTTTGATTTTCATTCTTCTGACGACTGATAAAATTTTTCCAGTTCCATACATACTTACATTTTACTTTAAAAAAGCGAGAAAAATGATTTCCAAATCATTCCTCGAGTTGATTCACCTTTATAAATATATTTTCAATGGAACATTCATCACCATTGTGATTATTATGATGATTATAATTATTCGTATTTCATCATTGTTTGGTACAATTATTACGCATCTCAGGCATGATGTCATGAGGTGAATTGCGGGACGTACCGTTTGCAGACCGTTAGAAAAGTAATAGAAAAAAGACTTGAGAAAGAGAATATTTCTCCGTGTACTTGTTGTTTTTCTTAAGCTAGATGATATGTTTATATGTGAGCCTCATATGACCCGGTATGAGAATATTGAAATAAATAAGTTTAATAGCTTGTTTAGAAGGCAATTATATGACACATTACTTCATTAATATACGAACATCTACATCGAGTCATGCACATTAAATACAATGAAATGGAAAAATGTGTAAAAGCTTGTATTAATCTACTTCCCGAACATGTGTTATTACCGAACTCTTCACTTAGCAATTTTGATTTGCCGTCAATTGCGTATTAATTCCGGGGGGAAATGAACTTTCATGCGTTACATAATGACAAAAAAATATTAATTTAAGAGAGTAATTAATTAATGGATAGAAAGATTTATAATTATTATTTAGAATGAGTGAAAAATTACCATAGATATGTAATAGTAGAACGAAATGATGATTTTATTATTAATTTATCCTCGCACGCGCTCAAACTGCCGTGAATGTTATGACGTTCATATACAAGAGCGATACAAAGGTAGAAGGAAAGGTAAGGATGTGCCTGCAAAGAAGTTTGTGGAAGGCTCAGAAAGACTGAACTTCAGTCTTGTCTAGACATTTGCCGTGTACGCACGCATCGTTACTTCTTTGGAGCCCCTCTCTTTCGTGTTCATTCACGTTTTACTTTTGGAGTCCAGTCTTAGTGAATACACTCTCAATGATTTAACTTACTTTTCATTTTTATTTGTGATTTATTATTATTATTTTTATTATTATTGTTATGTGTGTCATTTAAATTTATACTTTTCTAATGGGATTCGCACAACACGAGGTATGAATAATTATCTTTTTATTCCATCGATTTGCTTCCATCATTCCGTGAATACACTGTTTCAAGTTTAATTCTGTTAATTAAGATTAAAAATAAATTTAAAAAATTATATTTGCAATCTACTAAAAGAGGTTTATTATGGCATGTCGTTAGTATTTTTGATACATTTATTGAAATAAATGTAGGTAAATTGATTTATAATAAAAAATCAAAGTCTCAAATATTTCTATATTAAAAATAAAATTAATTTATTTTAATAATAATAATAATCAATTAAATTAAAATGATACCAATACAATTATGATGATGAATAATATGTATAAATAATTATAATTAATAAAACCAAAATTAATATTTTATTATTATAAAAATATAATAATAAATATTATATTGTAAATAACAAAAAAATAAAATTATTTTTTTCTAACAATTAAAAACATTAACGACATGCTATAATTTATTGTTTAGTATTTAATTGCTTAGTGATTAATTTTTTTTTTTTTTTAAATTTAGATATTTTTAATTATTATAAATAATAGAATTGTTGAAACTGTTACTCTTTCTACCCTTGAGCATTGACAGACAATTAACTTTTCATCATAAACCGAAACAAAATTAATAGTTTATTTTGTCGAAACATTAATTGTTTAAATTACAAAATAAATAAATTAGTAGATTAGGCAGAGAATTTTTCGAAATAATTATTTCGTTAGAAGCTTATGAGTCTTGTAGAATATTGAGAAATAGTCTAGACAATTTAATTACCAAGTATTGCTTCGGAAATTATTAATTAAAAATGATAATTAAAAAAAAAAAGAAAAACTGAATGAACTTTTAGATAAAAATTTTTTCTTAGAAGATAAAATAGTCAACTTTTTATGCAAAAATTAATAAAATTATGCAAAGCTGTCAGAATTTAAAGCCCATCACTACACACCTGTCTAACGAAAGTGGATTATCTCACAATAAAGCAACTTATTGAGTTCAAAGTGATAACAGTATCTGTAAATTATAAAATATTCCACCAGATTTCTGTCGTATTATTACCACTACCATCGAAAAAAAAAAAATTCATGGTTTTAATATTATTCTATTGAGGCTTCCGGATTGCGTAAGTACTTTTCATCGCTATACAAAAACCACGAAACGTCAACTAAAGAATATCGTATAAGTTTTAGAGCCGTAAAAAGTTGATCAAACGATTACTACTGAAAAAAAAAATGAAATAAAAAATCGATATAAGTTGAGATAAAAAAGAGAAGAAAAGTTTAAAGCGGTGTACTTCAAGAAGAATAAAGGAATGAAAAGATATATTTCATGAAGGCTAATCCTGACATAAACTCCTGGAGTTTGATATTTAATCGCCGTGCATATAAATTTTATTCGGTGTCACGGCTATTCTCTGTCGTATTACCATGCTCTAAGACATGTAGTGTTTTAAACGCGTGCCTCTACTGTCTTACATTTATGCTTCTACAATGATAGAATATCTGACAACACATATAGTTATGATGAAAAAAAATATCTATTACTTCAAATACATATGGAAGTCACTTGTGTGTTCATTGTTAAACTGTGCATTGACTTTTTTTTTCTTGTGAAAATTTATTGTTTTTATTGAGTTTAGGATTATTTAGAAATTGTTGGAAACAGTTAATTTTATAGAAGAAATATCCATTTTGATTGTTAGAATGATAGTTTTCGATTTATCAAAGGAATCACGGTTTTTATTTTATGTAATACTTTTTATTGGATTTATGTTACTTATTGACGAAAAGCATTCCAACAATCTGTCAAGCATACGAGGGTCTCAATACAAAAGTTGACAATAGGAAAAAGCAAATT